ATCTAATAAAAGACGAAAAATTTTTATTCAACTATTCATTATTGTAGAGCTTTTTAAACTAGGTAGTTTTTTTTTATATTAATTAAAAATTAAAATTTGTATACTTAGGGTGATTTCTTAACTACGTCTCATGATATATTTTTGAAAGTCACTGTGATATTATATTATCACTTATAATATTAGGATGATGATATCTTTTAGTAGTATATAAATAGCGGGTACGGGCTCTCAAAGGTGCCGACAATGACGTCATCTATTGTTCTTAGAACAATGGGGCGCTATTGTTCTCGGAAAACAATAGGTGCGCTACGAGCTCTCAAAGGTGCCGACAAATGACGTCATCTATTGTTCTCGGGGAAAACAATGGGTGTACAGGTGTGCGGCGGTACGGGCTCTCAAAGGTGCCGACTAATTACGTCATCTATTGTCCCCGGGGTGCAATGTGTGCACAGGTGAGATGCATTCCGTCATGGTGACGTCACACCTGACCTACCGTAACCCCCCTGGCCTCGGCGCCCGTGGGGACTGCATCCAAGTGCATCTCGTGACGTCATCCCTCTAGTTGACGACGTCACATCATTGACCAAAGGGGTAAGCTGCTGTGACGTCATACCTGAACCTACTACAGCTGGACCGTTACAAACACACATACACACACAATCCCTATGACGACGTCACGCTAACGCTAACTCTGTGCTATGAAAATGTGAGCCCTAGATGCCCTATCACGTCGTGATTGTGTCGTGCGCATTGACGCTTGTGCCCGACCGGTGCCCTATGACGTCATACCTAAACATTGATATTAGGGGTAAGCCCTATGGTGGTCGACGTCACACTTCAGCACTGGCCCAAGGTAAGCCCTATGACGTCATACCTAAACCTACTATAGCTGGCTCGTTACACCCACACACACACACATACACAATTCCTATGACGTCACGCTAACGTAACTCTGTGCTATAGTAATTCGAACGAAATACGAATCAATGGACCACCAAATTGTATGTGTAGGATTGTGAGATGCCTGTACATAAAGTTATTCGAACGTCTTCAGAACATCAAATACGAATTTATGGTTAATGGTACGGTACAGCAAATTGACGATCAGTTTATCTAAGTAAATACAAATCTAAATGTCAATAAAAAAATAAATAGTTTATTATCGTTATTTATTATTACATAATGTCATTTATATACAAAAATATCACTTAAAATAAAAGTATATATTATATGCAGATTTTTTTTTTTAATTTTATTTTGTATCCTACTGATTTCTATATTTACAATTTGCGCACTTCTCCGGTGAATGCATTGTATTCCATTTGACAATCGTGTATGATGACGCAGTACAGCGAAGTTTTAGCGGGAAATTGCTCTGCACATTCAAAATCAATACGTAGATCCACTGTGGACGACTTGACGGTATCGTTTTGTTTTGAACAATCTATGACGAATATAGGTCCGATTTTTTTGTAGCTGATTCGATCCAAAAAAGGGTATGGGTTCATCTCTCCATAGTACATTGTTTGAAATTGTGCGTACGAATTATAAAATGTCGAGAATTTGCCTTTGTCGAAATCTGCATTTTGGTTTTCGTACGGGTACTCGTCAGCGTTCAAGTATGCCTTGATGTTACGCAGGAAACAATGATTGAATTCACCGTGTACCCGTTTATTGGCATCTGTGACCATGGCTACGAGTAAATACTTAGGTTTTTCAACACCCGAGAACGTACGCACTGGCCATGTATGAGTGGTGGTTTGTGGTACAAGGGGATATACAGCAGTGTCCCAATGTTGAAACTCTAACGGTAACCATTTTTTGCTGTCGAGTATGCGCATCAGACCCAATTCCGTTTTCACATTTGGTTCAAAGTATTTCACGACCCATTTAATTTTTGTGATATTCACTTTGGTTTGTCTGATCAGCGCAATATTTTCTGCGGTTAACACCGAAGCTTTTTCTGCTTCGTCTTTTGCCAGTAACAATGCTACGGCGCAGTGGTCGGAATTCGATCGGATGAGTATGAGTGTTTGCTTACAGTTGATCAGTGTACGCCGATACCGTTCGAAAAATCCCATACACATTGACAACGGACAATGAGCTACAAATTCGGAATGGTCCATAAAGTTTCCATCATCGTATAATTTATTCACGTTTTTCCACCCGGCTGGATGTAACCGTACGACATCGTTGGGCGTGAACGAACAATATCCTTTCATAGCCGTAGTCACACCAACGTTTTTTACCTTATCAATTTCTTTATTGTTGATCTCAAAACGAATTTCATCGAAAAGATTCATCATACAGTTTTGATTCATTACAATGTTACCAACTGCTCCTGTGGGTTTTGCAATACTCCCCTCTATTTGCAAGTAACTTTCACACGGTATGGTGAATTTTTCTTTGTTGCGCAACTCAATGCGAATCTCATCGTTGTTTCCGTACGAGTTGTTGTAGCTTTGGTGTTCCAGGTAATATTCTCGTTTCACGTTATCGTCTTGAGAGGATTTTTCCAAAACTTGTAGATACTCTGTCATTGTTGACGACGCGGCAGCCCAGTGATTTTAGATATGCGATATTATCTTTCGTAAGTTTCCTCGGCGTCACACGGTATGTTCGATTCGCAGTCCAAGACCGTTTGATGGAACCACCACCGTAACGTATCGACTTGGGCTTCACTGTTGTTGATGATGATGATGATGATATGGTCGTACGATTGTTGTTAAAAATCAACGGCATGTTACAACCATTCGCTACCCGGTGTGTTCAGAAAGTGAGAGATGTATCTATTTATGTCTAATGTGCAAGCGTACGGATAATTCTTCGTCTTTGAGATTTATTTGGTATCCTTCTTGATTACATAGAACGATTCGTACCGTATCCAGCACATTTGTGTTCAATGGGTAGTAAACAATTTGCCTGGGAACTTCTATAATGCGGTAGCCTGGTGGCACGCTGGGAGAAAACTCATGTAAGGTGTGTGATTGTTTTCCATTGTGGTACGAACCCACAATAATATTACAATCCACTCGAATAGACGTAATCGGTGTTATTGTCACTGGATAATCCGATACATGAGTCTTACGTGGTTCCAAATACCGAAGATTGAAACCCAATAAACGGCAAAATGATCTTTCATGTGAGAAATCGATGGGATGTTCACACATTATTTCGTAATGCATCGTCACGTGGTTCACTACGATTTTGAACGATGAGGTCACTTTTCTATCTTTAAATTTTTCAACGATTGTATATTCAAAGGAAATTTTCTCGTACTGACTGGCAATATATTTGCTCAAGTCTTCCAATTCGTACGTACCAACGGGTAGTGTTACTTTCAGCAAGGGTTTCATGACCGGGCAATCCAAAAACGATTATATTGTTAGTTTCATCAATGTTTGGCATTATGTTCCAAGTGTGTAAGCTCAACAGCCCAATTTCACAGTTATCGTCAACGTCAATGTGTGGATGAAATCGGCATTCAATTTGTGATCCCCTACCTGTCACGGTTATCGATGACGGTTTTGTGTTGGATGACATTTTTTTTGTTCTATAAGAAATTTTAAACACAAGTGTCCACAATTCGTTTCGTCGAAAGTCTGATAGTTTCTGTAGTTGTATGTGATATTACAGCCGTTAAAATACCGTAACACTTCCAATGGCGGCGGTAAATTACCAAAACTATCAAAGTACGTAACGTGCTCACCACGTTTACTGTATGCTACCCAATGTGTTCCGCTATTGCTCGAAACGTCCAGATTAATCACGCCCATTTCATTTGTATGTGGTTGTGTACGTGGTAATGTGTCACGACAAAATACACCACGAAATACACGTGGATCGAGCACATGACGAGCGAAATGCTCTATTTCATTATCGTATAATGCACGATTGGGTAGCAGCGGAATTAGTTTTTTTTCACTCTCTGTTTTGAGCGACGTTTTTGTGGTTTCCTCTTCTTCTCGATCCGGTAACCGGATCCGTAAGGACGAATGTACAGTCCTTTACCCGCGTTAACACCAGTACGTCCATTGCGAATGAATTCACTTGCAACCTTTACTACGTTTGCAGCTCCGCCAGCTAGTGCTCCTAGTGCTGACAAACCGGCAAAAATTGGAATTAACGGCAACACTCCTCCGCTTTTCGGGATGTTTAATATGCGAGGTACACTCATCGGACTCTTCTTGATGATCACACGTCTAGCAGCAAGCAAAGCTTTTCGTGCAGCATTTTTCAACGATGTCGGAGATGCCGTCACTTTTTTTTTTTTGAATCCCATACCGAGTTTGCGTTTCAATTTCATTGCGTTTGTCACACCCCAAGCTACGGCTCGTTCTGATAATTTTGCGTCC